CATCTTCCAGTTTTTCTACATTGCGAGGGTTTAACGAGCTCAAATCCTTATTCTTACCTGATCCCAGAAGTTCTTAATTTTGTTAGGATCCGGTAAACAAAAGAACATCTCTAAAAAAGTCGCATCTTCAATAATTGAATTATTAAAGATTGGCAAAATGTCTTATTTTCCGATAAATCCAGAACTTGCCTACATTCAGACGACCAGAAATTCATATTTTAAGAGGTCGTGGGAGACTTCAAGTTGGACGATGAAATACAATACAAAGGAGGAAGTAATGTTTGTCATGATTGGTAAAAAAGTCCCTTTGACTCCCAAACCCTAAGAGGTCCAAGGTATGTGGATTTAGTGCCAGAACCCGTAGTAAGAATCTGGAGAGGTGTTTTCCACGATTTTTGTTATTTATGCGGGATAATGCACCTTGGGAAATGTTCCCAAAGATAAATTATTATCTTAATAGAAATTAACTATAGTTAAGTTAAGAGCTTTACAAGGTAGTTATGTGGTCTGATGGGGCGAATCTTTTGAAGGTTAGAAAACCTCCCTGCCAAAATTATCACAGTGAAAAACAATGTATTTTACAAGTCTTTGTCTCTAGATGTTAGGAAGTCATTTACTTATATACAGAAAAGGTTTTCATAGACAATTTATAACCTTAATTGAGGTGGACAAGAACAAGATGAAATGAAAGAGGAGTTAAGATGAGAAATGTAACAGGTTATGTTATAGTAGAGCATAATCTTGAAAAAAATGTCTCCTGAATGGTAAAGGTCAGGATGCAGCAGTTACTCTAGAGACATAAGTATATTCCGGAGACCTAGGGGAAAGCTCGTGACTGGAAAACAGTAAAAAGGACATACAAAATATTTTTTCACCTTCTAATTAATTTTTGAACGGTTTTTAAAGAATAAAAGTAACCTGTGTGTATTTTAAAAGTCTTAAAACTTACTTTCACGACGTGGGGGTAGTATAAAAGGCGTATTTCTGAAACTACTGCACCCACGTTGACGCCCTTTGGCAATCTTGCTAAAAATACTTTTGGCTACAAAATGCCAAATATAGACTTTCTTACTATTTTATTTAAATTTTATAGATTTTTTAAAAATTGCTACTTTCATTTTGCACATCAATTTACATCAATAAAAGTATTTATGTATATCGGATATTTAGATAGGTATTTATTTAATTATTTTAATACATACAATTATTAAATAATCTAATGCCAAGCAGAGACAAGGTCCTGCTCTCCAAAAGTAAATTACAGATATTTGTTGTTGTTGTTTTGTATAAATTATTAAATTTGTTATAATTGACAATTAAACTATGAATCATAAACTAATATGGCATCAACTGGGCAGAAAGATTTCGGTCTATAGCCTTTTGGAAAACCAATAAAGATTTTTTATTTTTTTTATGATTATTACATTTGGTGTTTATGTTTTATGTTTAATTTTAAAAAGTCTAGATTTAAATTTTATTAAAAAACTCCAAATTTTCACAGAAAAAATAAAGCTTCCATAATCAACAATTAATTATAAAATAAAAATGTATTTCTTCTTCAAACAAATTGTATGAAAATAGGGAGCATACTGGATACATCCAAATTGCATCAGACATTTTTATTATAAAATTATATAATATTATTATATATTATATCACAAAATAAATAGTTGATATACAGGGTGCAACAAGTACCCTTTTGTGTATACTTCGTTATTTTCAAGAATAAGTTATAACAATTTTTGGTTTTGTCATGTTTTTAGTGTTTTTTGAATTATTTATGGCCACTTGTACCGTTTTCTCTAACTGATCGGTTAAATTAACTGCCAAGTTAAAAGGTAACAGGGGATTAGTGTACAAAATCTTGCACCGTGATTTTTTAACTATGGTTTAAAATTTAACTAGTGATCTAGGGAATTTGACTAAAAGATGGAAAAGATTGGTGCTAATAACTAACTTCACACTTATTTGTGACGCAAATATATTTTGATGTTAAAAGTTCGATTCTTTATAATCTGTGGTTAGATTCGATGATAAAGATCTTTATCATCTGTGGTTAGATTCGATGATAAAGATCTTTATCATCTGTGGTTCCATTCTGTTTCATGTACGACCGATTCAGTTGATAGCAAGAGAGAATAATATGGATACAGAACTTGAAAAAAAGGGGGCGCTCCTCAAATTAATCTTGTGGATACAAGGGTATCATTGAAAACAAAGAGACAGATAGGGCTGAAACAATTAGGGCAGGAAATTAAAATAAAAAGGATGTAAAAGAAATGACTCTTTCGGATTTAAAAAATTTAGAAGAAAAAGAAAAAATATATGTAGTATAATATATAATAATGGCGGCTTTGGTTTATTCATGTCTCTAGCAATATTATATAGTACAGCTGCAGCTGAAATAATGGAAAAAATGTATCTAGTTTTAATCTTAAGCCATATGCCAACACTGGAAAGCTTCTTTTCCAAATTCCAAAAACTCTTTATATTATATTTCTGGTTCTTAGTAGTGACTCATTATAGAGTTGCTGACCTCTATACTTATAACTATAGTTATTGGATTTGCTAAAGATGTCAATAAATAATATCTTCGGAAAAAAAAAGATCTTGAATACCGATGACAAGTACTTTTGAGGTTATAAATTGTTAACGGTGGATTAAAGTAATTTAATCCCCCGAAATTGAAGGTTTATTTTAACCGTAGTTTAGTGGTATTTAAACACGAATTAATTTACGGTGCAAGCCAGTTATAAAAAATAAACCTGTGTTAAAAAATAAACCACTGTTAAACTTACGGTGTAAGTGGCCATTAAGAACCAATATTTTTCCTCAAGTTTTAAACGCCATTTAATAGAATGCAGCCTTTGTCTAATTTAACCGACTTTTAAATAAAAAACCCAACCCAACCCATCCATAGAAGGATACTTGTTGCCCCCTGTATATCGTCGATAAACAGGGTGCAATGAAAATTCCCGTAAGTTTTTTTAAGGGCGTTAAAAATGTATCAACAAGTTTTTCGCGGAATCTGTTTGCTCGAGCGAATTTTTCTGTATATTATAAAATATATCGGCGTCTTGGTTTTTAATACAGTGCAATATTTGCTACTAAAGGTAGGTAAACCTACAAACCTAAATAAGCCTACGTAAATAAAATATATTTGCTCTATAATTTAATAATTTGTAGCTATAAATAGAGCTTTATAAAGTTACGCTGAAAGGCCCCAAATTTAAAGGTCATAGTATCAAGGCACTAACAAACGGTAACTCCTTTAATAAAAGCACGCACTTTATTAAAATGTATCTTTGCCAGTATTCTACAAAGGCTGTGACATAAATATAAATATAGAATTAATTATATTCTTTACATAAAACATCTAAAAATAAGTAAACCTGAGTTTTAACTGAAACAATAAAGCTGTTGTCGCATGTAATTTATGTTAAGAAATATTTTTAATTAAAAATTAAAAAATTAACAGAAAATAATAGGTATTTTTATAAATATTCGTACAAAAGTGGTATTTTCTGTAAATAATTTTTTTGCGAAATGGCTTTATTAAAGTGAATGAATTTTTATTAATGAGGGAGAGATTTTTTATTTATGATTAGGTTTTAATAAAAAAGGTATTTTTTTATATTTAAAAATAAATATATTTATCATTTTTGAGGTATTGCACAAAACTAAAGTACCAAAAGGGTTAAAACTCTATTTTTTCAAATTTGTATTAAAAAATTACTATTTATTAGATACAGACACAGACAACAATTTTCTTTTATTTCTTAAAATGCAACACAATATCCATGTCATTTTTGAACACTTTGATTTTAACATTTGGTTAGGAATTATTAAAGGTTAGTTACGCTTCTTTTGCATTTTCATAAATCAAAAACAATCCTTTTGTGGTTTAGTAAATTTCACTGTGGGCGTTTAATCATTAATGAAGTCTGAAATTTAAAAAATTAAGTAAACAACTTAAGAAATATAAAAGAATCAATGTATTAATTATAATTCTTAAATAACTTAATTTTTTATATTTTTTTCAATATTTGGGGAATCGTGTTTAAGAGTGTTCTGCGATTTTTATATTTGACAAATTTCTGGGTCAAAGATCAAAGATTAAAGGTATAAGATCAAAGGTGAAAGTTCAAATAAATCCCATTATACTTTTGTTTGTGCAAAATTTTTAAAGAATGGTTTCGGGTAATCGTGGAGAACATAAGATACAAATCATTTTAAGAGAAGTGTTTATAATATGCCTTGTTCCTGTGGGTGAAACAAGTGCATATACAGTAAATTTGTGGTATATATACTATACTATACTATATACTATAGTATACTATTTGTGGTATAGTATACTATTTGTGGTATAGTATACTATATCTATAGATATGCCACAAGTTTTGTGGGTGCTTAGATCGTTTAGATCACCGAACGATCCGTCTTGGCCACATTAGTAATTTAACAACTTGAACAGAATGGTTTTTTTCTGACACAGTCTGAATGCCAAAATTGAATGCTTTTCCATCCACTGTTATTTACAGACTTTACCCTAAGCAACTATTTTTAAGTTAAAGAAGTGGCTCCAAGGAAAAACATGTACACCCAATAAAACCCTTCATTTAACTCTTCAGCTTATAACATCTTCTTTTAAATTAAAAAGAATATGTTTATTTGTTGTAATGTGGACTGTACAATGTACAGTGTACAGTGTACATCGTCGAATACTTTACACACATAAGTATATACTAAAGTGCTCTTTTAGTTCGACCCTTACTTCCTTAGAAGTCTCATGAACCAAGTGAATGGCTTGAGCGGGTATAGGGGTAGGAACGGACCGTGGGCTTAAAAACCCCTCTGAAGGACCACTAAGGACTACTGCGAAGGACATTAAATCGGTTAAAATTTAGTTTTGGACGATATCCTATCAACAGACGCTGAAGCTTGTAAGTATATTCTTACTTGAATTTAAATAAGATACATTTTTAATAAACTCCACTTACTTGTATGTGACTGGTCGAAGCCTGTCCCTTGACATTTGCAGCCGACCTTGCCCCGACTATAGTCAAATAGTCTATAAGCCGTGGGCAAAGGAACTGCCTCTCGCCTTCTGAACACATGTTTGCAGTTGGTTGGGTCACCTTCTTATCAAAGATACCTCCGTGTTGGAATCAAAAAGCTTCTTTGATTCGATTTTTAACATTTTTGGAATAACAGTTCTGAAAAGAAAAAGTTTTCGTTAAAAAGGTTTTATTGTACAACTTTATCTTAAATATGTTGATATTGTTTTTATATCACTAAATATACCACTTTTTGTACAAAGAAGTTGAAATCCAAGTTGTTTATTATAATTTTAAATGTTCCCTTCTTGCTATAACTGACTAAGTGTAAATAGTGTAAAACTAATTAAATCATATTTAACAAATAGATATCAAGTTTGCAAAACTGAGAATGAATTGAGTCATAGGGAAACTGTTAATGTTGGGGTACCTCAAGGCTCTATTCTTGGACCTATCCTATTTTTGATATTTATAAATGACCTCTCTTATATTAGTAACTCGTCTGATCTTACACTATTTGCTGATGATACCACAATTGTAGTAAAAGATAGAGTTCTTGAACATTTGGAGGTTCACCGAGAACAAACTTGTTCTAAACAAAGGGAAGACACAAAGCACTATTTTTTCCTTAAGAGATCTTAATGAATTAAACAGGAAAGAAATCATTAAATTTCTTGGAATCATGTTTGACAGCAAATTAAGATGGAACAGTCAAATAGATCCACTATCAAAGAGGTTGATTACCAAGTCCTTAGATGTTAAGTAAAATATTTTGCTATAGGAACTTAAGTGAATTTAATGCTTCTAAATGATCATCAGTCAGTTAAATGATTAAAAAACTTATTTTAAATGCATGTAAGTCAAATCGATTTAAAATCATCTATATAATTTATTTCCTTTTTTATCTATTGCAAATTGTCTTTAAGCTTATGGAAAGTTATAGATTTGCTTACAGATGTGGGCAGAATTGACCCCTTATTTTGAAATCCTTCACTTAAACTAAATAAGAAGTACTTACTTACATAAAAAGCAATATTGTGTAAGTATTACATTTAGTTTGCTAAAAAAAACTTTATTTTAGTAACGTACGTAGCTTTGTAGTTTTTTAATAATAATAATAATAATAATAATAATAATAATAATAATAATAATAATAATAATAATAATAATAATAATAATAATAATAATAATAATAATAATAATAATAATAGTTTTATTGCCCTAAGATCATTACCTACAATGATATCGACAAGGTCAAGAGGTTACACTAAATGAATAATATACCTACATATATAATAGTAGGATTAAAATACATTATTTAAAATCATTAAAATATGTATATACCTACACTTACAAATTAAAAGCTAATAAATTCATTTTAGAGACAAGATTTAAAAATAAGAAAAGAATGTTGTTTATGGGAGGATTCGATTTAAAACTTCCAGACATGTTTATAGGTCATATCCAAGTCATTTAATAAGGGTCAATTTCTTATCAAATGTTTGTTTAGAAAATGTTGCATTTAATCCTCTTTCAGGTTACATAGAAAAGCAAATTATAGGTTGAGTTTAATAATTAGATTTTATTTTATAGTTCATCCTCGATGTTTTATTCAAACAAAGTGTTAATTTGTTAATTATAAAGCAATAGGTAATGTTGGTTGTTTATGGAATTTAAAGTTCTGTTACGTTGTTAAGTGAAATTTACGATAATCCTTGACCCATTTTTCCTTATTGGAAATTGTGCTTTTTCATAAAGAAATATGGTATTTGATTTAAATTATTTTTTATATAAAGGATTTTATGTTCAATAATAATATAATATAATTTAAGCTTTATTATTATCAACGCTAACCATTAAAGTATTCGATTTTCTCCTAGGCTGTAAAAATAATTTACACCAATCAGGTGAAGATAAAATGTTGTATGCGATTCGGCTGAGACTTTTCTTTTTGTGCTTCACTCAATTGTAGGTCTCCGATAACGATTCGTTAAAACTTTGAGCTCAGCACCTAAAGAGTTACTTTTAATCCTTATGACATATGTAAATAACTATTTATGTAGGTAATTTGATTTAACTTTTAATAATATTATACCTGGTATATGGCATTGGTCGTTTTAAGGTTAATATTATAAAAAAAATATTTTTTAGCCATTGATATTTGATGTATATTAAAAAAGGATCATTGAGTATTTGAAATAAGTAGTACCCTATCGATTCTTGAGGAATTAAAATTAATTGATCCACAGTTATTATATGCTATTAAAAATTATGTGTTAAAAATTATTTTCTTTCATGGAGATATTCTAATTATTTTATAAAAGTTAATATGCATTTTTTTAAGAATTTACAAAATATCTATAAACATAACTAGATTCGACAATGTTAAAAATACCAGTGAAACCTTGAATGAAACAACCTGGCGATAACCGAGCAGTGTGCCAGAAAATTAGTAAGCTTTCACCGCCGGGTTTTATATAATATTTTGTAAGCATTTCATTAAAACATTTTTGTATGATTCCTTCACATCATTTTATTTGTTTACGATGGTTTATAATAATTTGACCATAGACAAGGGATAAGTTGGGTGGGCGGGGGGTTAGAATTTGACTTTTAAACTATTAATGTAAGGTCTTTTTAAACTGCCCATCACTCAATGTGTCGCGATCAAAAAGTTCGTCCTTTTTCAAAACGACATAACTTTTTTGTTTCTTAAACGATTTTATTTTGGTCTGTGATGTCTGCTAGCCCCATCCTCTGGCAATTCATACTATAAATATGAAGTCACGGATCTTTAAGTAAATATCGTACAAGGTGATATGTAAAACGGTATAAATTTCAATAACTTCATCCAAGCCCCGTTTTCTACTCCTGTTACGGAATTTGACCCTTCTAATATCACTTATATCTAAGTGTTACAGAATGAAATATTCTATCATCTGATGACAGAATTAACACTCGTGGCGACATTTCTGGTTTTAATATATCTAACAAATTTTAGACCGATCCAACCTCACTTTCTTACAATTAAATTATTTTTTCATGGTATTTTTTGAAAACGTAGAAAAAGTATAGTCTGAAACACGTTTGGAATTGCATATTCCGCTCTCTTTGATATAATGAAGTATTATGTCTAACCTTGAAAAGGTTTTCAAATTTTTCGAATTGGAATTTTAGCAACGAAAAGACTATATTTAAGGGTTTTTGGTAGTCAATACACGCAGTCTTTTTAAGAACAAGAAGATATAATGGTGAAAGATTGTTCCTTGAATAATTCTGAACAAGCGACAAGCAACAAACTTCCATTATTTTCAGAGGGGCCTAAGCAAAGACCTCTTTTTCAAAATGAGATTTCGGTGAAAATTTGCGAAAACTGAACCTGAACCGATATTTACGTTCGTGACATGTTTTCTTTATAATTTTGACGTCCTGATTGTGATTCAGTTGTCAAATTTCAGATAAAACCAAAATCACCAAGAATCAAAATTTGAAAACAATTCCCGGCTGTTAAATCTCTTGCCTACAAAAATGAAAAAATACATATTCGAAAAATTTGAAAAACGTTTCAAGGTAATTAAGACATAGTACTTCATTATTTAAAAGTAAAAACGATAAAAAAATATTTTTTTACAAAAGGGGCTTGGATAAAATTATTGAAATTTTTCACCGTTTAACATATCACCCTGTAGGAAATTCACTTGAAGAACCGTGAGCTTAATATCTGTAGCATGAATTGCCATAGGTTGAGGCTAGCAGACAACATAGACCAAAATAAAATAGTTCAAGAAACAAAAAAGTTACGTCGTTTTGAAAAAGAACGAACTTTTTGGTCGCGACACATTGAGTGGTGCGCAGTTTATATAAACTATTCCTGTAAGTTGACACCACCAGAATTATATTTATCTTGCGATTTACGTTATGTTGGTAGTACCAAATGTCATCTTGGCGTCTGTTACTAGCAACAAAGAAAATTTGCTTAAACAATTTGCTTACTGACGTTTTAATAACAAACCCTACATAGGCTCCAATAATACTATTTAGGGTTCTTGACAGGCTCCAACCATGGTTTACCTGTACCTATCGTAATAAGATATTAAGCCAATTGTATTTATTAAGGTACCTACATATTTATTTTTATACTTTTAAAATATGCCAATTCAAATGGTGAGTAAATAATACATGATGATTTATGGTTTATAAAATTATTAGAAATATATTTAAAATTTTAATAAAAATTAAAAATGCCTATTTTATATTTAAGTTTATTTTATTTTAAATACCTATTCAATTATATAATTAGTACGTATACAAAAATATCGTAAACGAGTATTATATAATATTAAATTAAATTTTAAAGACAATTTTTATTTAATAAAACTAAAAACGGAATTTTTTAGGTCAATTTAAAAATATTTTGGTAAATTATTAAATATTCTTTAATTTAATAAAAATATGAAGAAAACAAAAAATGTAGGATTAATTTATTTTTACAAAAATACCGAAATTGTATGAAAGTTCCATTAGAAATATAATATATTATGATTAAAATAGTGTTTGTGTTTGACAATATTTCTATATTGATCTAAAAATAATAAAATAATAACATACAAATTTATTATTTAAAAATAAGTATAAAATTATAATAAACAGAATAAATTGTGAGCCCACGCAGTCCTTTAAAGGTTAATAAAATGTAGTATTTTATTCTTTAACTACTTAGAATACAAATCTGTAGACATAATTTGTTTTTCCAACAAGACATCGCCCACATTGAGAATCGGTAAATTTACAGTGTTTTTTTATTTTATGGTTAATGTTTACATTTGCATACTTTAATTAAAATAATTTAAAACAAATATAACAAGGGTAGACTACATACAATTTTAAAAAATTTTACTAAATGTAGTACGGTTGAAGCACAAATAATTTAATATCATTTAACCAATAAAAAACTCATTTAGCATTTTAATTAACAAAGTTTGTTTACTATATTTTCTAGATTCCAGTAGTTGATATCCCAGTGAATAATTTATTATTGTTTGAGTTTATATGCACTTTAATTAACAAAAAAAACTATTTATTAACTACTTTCACTGCAATACCTTGGAGTATGCTTAATTTAACAACCAATTTAACATTACACCTTCTGTGGTCTGTTT